CTGTCCATTATTTACAAAGGTTCCTCTACGAAGTGTAGACACTCATTTACCTCTATTTCATTGAGTGGGACTACAAAAATCTCATCGGACATACAGTTCTTTAGGTTGGATACGGGGAAGGTGGGGCGTACGTTGCTGTGTTCTTGTGGTAGTCGAAGTTTGTAAGCCATTGGGCCGATTATGGCAAGGACCACAAATGGTCCTATGTACCTTGGATTTAATTACCATGTTTCCCAAAATGAATCATTCCCTTCAAGGATGAGACCTTCAATAGAACTCGGTCACCACCTTGGAACTCCAAGGGTTTTCGTTGCTTATCAACATAGCTCTTTTGCCGATCCCGGGATACCTTTAATCGTTTACAGGTCTGAATGATCTTCTTTGTAGTTTCCTGTATGATCTTCGGGCCTGTTAGAGTGCTATTAGGCACTTGTGCTCATGCTAGCTGTGTGTCACCCATTTCATCCCAACACAGAGGTGATCTATACTTGCACCCATAAAGTGCTTCGAACGACATGACTTTGATGCTAGTGTGATAGTTTTTATTATAGGAGAATTCGATGAGTGGTAAATGGGTATCCCAGGCTTTATCAAAGTCTATCACACAAGCTCGCAACATGTCTTCTATCATTTCTATGGTTCTCTCACTTTGGCCATCAGTTTGAGGGTGATAAGTTGTACTTATGTCGAGTTTTGTCCCCAAAGACTTTTGTAGAGACTACCAAAACTGCAAGGTGAATCGACTATCTCTGTCGGAGATGGTGGATATTGGCACCCCATGTAGTCGTACGATTTCCCTATGTATGTCCTTGTTAACTTCTCCATCCTGTCGTTCTCCTTTATTGGTAGATATTATGCAAATTTGGTTAACCTATCAATGATTACCCAGATGGTGTCAAGTCCCCCTATTTTCTTGGGCAACTTGCTTATGAAGTCCATTGTTATCTGCTCTGAGTTCCACTCGGGTATGTCTAGTTACTGGAGCAAACCCGAGGGCCTTTTGTATTCTACCTTGACCTTGGCACAAGTCAGGCACTTGCCCACATAGGTAGCGATCTCTGCCTTCATGTTTGGCCACTAATAAAGTTTCTTAAGGTCCAAATACATCTTGTCTAAATCGGGATGAATGGAGTATTTGGTTTTGTGAGTCTCATTCATGACAACATCTCTGTACCCACACGAATCTCGGTGTCTAGATTCGATCCATAAAGTAACGAGCTCCATCATCCTTGACCTCGAGGTTTTTATCCATTCCCCTCAAAGCTTCACCTTCAATGTTTTTGGGTTTCAAGGCTTCTAGTTGTTACCCCTTGATCTATGTGGACATGTGTGGATGAATGGTCATGGTCAATGATTTTACTCAGCGACCCGAGTATTCCTTCTAACATAGGGCGTTTTCTACTACATTGGCCTTGCCTGGATGATAATGAATTTCACATTCGTAGTCGTTTAACATTTCAACCCATCATCGTTGTCTCATGTTGAGCTCATTTTGATTGAGAATGTGCTGCAAACTCTTATGATTTGTGGAGATGATGCACTTTGTGTTGTAAAGGTAATGTCTCTAGATCTTTAGGACGAACACCATTGCTCCTAATTTGAGATAATGCGTGGTGTAATTGACCTCATGAGTCCTGAGTTCTCTTGAGGCATAGGAAATGACCTTTCCTCGTTGCATGAGCACACATCCTAAGCCCTGCTTGGATGCATCAAAGTAGAACACAAAGTCTTCATTCCCTTCAGGGAGGGATAAGATGTTGGATTAGGCGTCTAAGCCCATAACTATAATTGGTATGTACTGGACACGATAGTAGCAAGATCCATTTCGGGTTGCCTTCACTAGAACAATTTGATAGGATGAATATTTGAGAAAGAGGTTATTTGTGATTTATTGATATATTATAAGAATAATATATTAATTGAGGAATCATATTATTTAATTGGTATTGACCAAGAATTAATTTGGAATTAATTTAGTGATCAAAAGAGAATGATTAAATTAGTGGGGGATGATTAAGTAAATCAGTAATACTTATTGTTTGGGCTAATGATCCATGTTGACTATGGTGGAATAAATCTTTGTGGAGTCCATGAAGATTTAGTCTAAAGGTCTTATCATATGGATTATTGGATTAAAGGCTCAAAGAAGTGGATTAGGGTTTACCAGTTGAAACTCTAGGAATTTAAAACTATAAATTTAACCCCTAAGCTTGCAAAATGGGTGACTAGTACTCCAAGGTTAAACCCTAGCAGATTTATGTTTCATAACCTCACTCTCATATTCCTCTAATTGTTATTGGTCTTTGTGACCTATTTTAGGCATCACATTTAGGTTCTAAGAGGTATTCTTCTAACTAGATTTTATGTCTCAAATTTCTCTGTTGTATGCTAGTTATAGGTTTCATGCTTTGGATAATTTTTGTTGCATGTATAACTCTAGAAAACTTAGAACCAAAGCATTTAGGGTTGTATGTGCACCATAGGAGTGTTATAGTACATAAAACACAACAGTTCTATTAGAGCCATGCGTGTTTTCTTTTATATAGATGAAATTGTATTTTTTCAAAGTTGAAAAATCATGATTTTTGATGTCTGACTGCTGGACTCAATGAGTTGGCTTATATAATCATGAACTCGACGAGTCCATAGCCTAGCTCGATGAGTTGGATCATCAGATGGCAATTTTTTTGAGATTTGGCATGTTTTGGATGAGGATCATTACCACAATCTGTTTTGGCTCATCAAATTCGATTTTACTAATACGGTAATGATTATCCCCATCCAATAACATGATGATTGTCAAATTTTAAGATAATTATTTCATTTTATGAAAAAACTAATTGTTTGAAGAATTTGAAATTATCTTGCCATATGAGTGGAATTAGGTCAAATTAGTAAAAGATAGAATTATATGATTATTTTATTATTTTAAAATTTAATCTAAATGGCTTTGAAGAGTTTCATAACTGTCCTTAATTTATGAAACTTGGAAAGTCACTTTTATGACTAAAGAGAGTTACCAAACTTGCCATCAAGTTTTTCAACTCAAAAGTTTTTTTTAAGAGTTACAAAACTTATCATCAAGTTTTGGAATTCAAAATGTTTGAAGAGTTACAAAACTTTTCCTCAAGTTTTAGAATTTGAAAAGTTTTTTTTATGAAACATTGAATTCTAAAATATCTAGTAATTTGCAAAGATTTCAAAAGGTGCATCTCTTGGTTTCATAACTTAAAATTTAATTAAATAGTTTTAATTTTGAATTTTTATATTTAGAACCTTTTGGTGTCATAACTTAAAATTAGAATTAAAAGTTTTTTAATTATAGCTTTGTTAATAGTTATTTAAAAGATTAATTAAAAGAGTATTAATAAATCTATAATTAAATGGTTTAAGTTTAATTAACTTAAAAGTCTACTTTATTTAAAAGACTAAACCTCCTAGTATCTTAAAGGTTTTAAACACACCCATATACTATATAAAATTAAAAGTCTAATGTATTGTATACGTATAAGTTTAAAAAGTAAGAGGGTGTTTGTTTTTTCTCTGCTGATCTGCATGGGCTCTTTTGTCTGTGCGATGCAGACCACACGCAGACATAAAGGTTTGCAGTGTGTTTGTTTTTCTGAAGTCCACAGACATAAAAAAAGTCTGTCGACCATCACCACCGATCAGGACCGCCATCGCGAGTATCCTTTCCGATTGAAGGCGTCGAGCGACCAGGCGACCAGTCGACCGGCTGACATTGCGATCTACCCACCTGCGAACAACAAGTTTCACCTTTTTGCGTTACATTTTTTTTTCAATTTCAACATGAAATTCTCCATGATCAGTTCCACCAGTTTCGAAATTGCACTGTGGAAATAAGTTCCATCTGCTTAATACAAGATCATATTAGGTTTTTATATATAAAAGATTATGATTTCTGCTTAATACATGATTAGGAAGTCTTGCCAATCTTTTCCTGTTTATGTCTCACAAGTAGTGCTGAAGCAAAAATAATCGTATGCATCAGTTAATTGTATATCCACATTTACGACTAGAGCACCTATGACTTACATCTATTATTTATGATTTCCTCCAAAAAAAAATCCTAACAACTTCATTTTCCAGTTTCAGAAAAACTAGAGCCAAGAACTCAAAAGTATGAAAATAAATATTATTTTTAGATTCAATGCAGTACTACTAGTCTTGGTTAAATCACAGGTTACCTCTCATTTCTTTGATCAAATTGTTAATCTCTTACTTTTTGGCTAAAAATTGCAAAGACATTAACGATTTTTACTATTCTTTATAAATTCCTTTAAATAAAATTATCACATTAGAAAGGTCTTATACCCCGGGTCAGCAATATGGATTGACTCAATAGACCACTTTAGGCCAATCTTAGAATTTATAACACGTCTAAAGTTACCTTCACCAAACTGACAAAGTCACTATCCTTTTATTTGTATATGTATTTCAAAAACAAGATTGGATTTGACCATTACCATTTCAATATCCCCTAAATTTTACTTTTGGAAACGAGTCTAACAACTTCAAATTTTCAATTAAATACTAATGTTAAACATAATCAAGGATTTTAGCAAATAACTAAACATATATGTTCCTGTTCTTGAGATTTTTATAACTTTCACAACTCCCTTCATGACTTTATCTCGCATAAAATGTACATCACGTTTAATATATTTTGTTCTCTCATGAAATATAAGATTTAACGAAAATTGTATAGTAGAATTGTTGTTACACAAAATATAATATAGTAACATTGATGCCTTCTTTAAAAGATACGATTAATTTTGGAAAATCACACTTAAAAACACTATTAATGAAATAATGATGTTAGTTGTTGATTGTTTATTGTTATTTGGTTTTGAAAATACTCTTTATTGTTTCAAATCGTTATTTTTTTTTTTGTTTGAATGTGTATGATATGCAATACCTAATGAATGCTACAATACCTTATTAAATTATTATTATCTATGACATATTGCTTATTTGAAATGGGAGAAAAACAACAATGGACCAATGAGCATTTAAAATTCTTATTGGATACTTGTATTGAAGAAGTAGAGAGTGTCGGTAGAAAAGGATTGAGTTTGCAGAAAGATTCATGGATAAGGCTTGCAAGAGTTCTTAAGGAGAAATTTGGGTTTGAGTTGACTCAAAAGCAAATGAAAAACCCATATGACAATCTGAAAGCCAAATACACAGGATGGGTGTATTTAAAAAACAAAACTGGTAACATATACAACTCTCAAACAAACACTTTTAACTTTACAACCGAGGAGTGGGATGATTTTAAGAAGGTATATATACACATATTATACATTTACGTTTGAAGTTGCTAAATATTCGTATACTATTTTTTGTTACATTTGGGGTTAGGGGCATCCGAAGGCTGCTTCATTGAGAACAATTCCACTGCCTTTTCCAGATCTTTGTGCACATCTTTTTGATGGAAATAGTGTCACTGGTAATTGTAGGAGTTACTCAACCCAATCATCATCAGTAGCTGGAGCATCCTCTTGTCGTGTTCCACCACTTCAGATTACCGCCACCCCTTTTCGTGTAATAGATGATGATGGTGATGACACTTCCCACCATGAGCCACCACCTTCTGCTGCTTCACCTTCTGCTACTTCACCATATACTGCTTCACCATCTGGTAACCCCAACAAAAGGGCTAGACCCTCAACTCCTATACCTCCAAGTGCTTCACCATCTGCTTCTTCACCTGATGGAACTTCTATTACTGCTAACAACTTTAGCATCAGAAATGAAAAAAGCTCTACAAAGTTTGACTAAAGGGTATACAATCCCTCAATGTTTAGAGAAGTTAGAGGTGCTTCAATTAGGCCCTATAGATCCTTTACGCTTTGTTGCATATCATATTTTTAGAGGGACCACAAACATGAGAGAGATATGGATGCATTTTCCTGATGTTGCCGAGACATTACGAGGATGGCTTGAGATGACGGGTACAAGTTTAGGAGTTTTGAAGGATGGAAAGATTGTCCATTGATTTTGAAACTATTTGTTAGGTCTTTTTTCATTTGTTGGAACTATTTTGTTAGGTATTTTTTCCTTTTTTGGAACTATTTTTTGTTACTTTGCTACTTGGAATCTGGTTTACCTAATGTTTTTTTGGTACTTGGAATATGGTTTAAATAATGTTTTTTTGCTACTTGAAATATGGTTTATGTAATGCTTTTTTTCTACTTGAAATATGGTTTATGTAATGCTTTTTTGCTACTTGAAATATGATTAATGTAATGTTTTTTAAAGTTCTACTTTGTTGATTTTAGGTTCATAATGGATCACGATCAAAAGTTGCTTCTCGAAATTCTTATGTATCTGTACATCCATTATTTTTGGAAGAGGGGTGTGAAACGATTGCGGGACAATGATTCGGAAATGACGGGACATGAATACACATTGGAGTTGTTACATCGTAATCGTTTACAATGTGTTGAAGTACTACGCATGTCCCGTGACTCTTTTGTACGACTATGTGCTCATTTTAGAGCGAATTACTCATTAAAGGACATCAAACATGTATCGGTTGAGGAAAAGATGGCTGTGTTTTTGATGATGATCGGCCATAATCAACGTTATGTGATTATCAAGAGGAGATTTCAACACTCGAAGCAAATAGTTCATAATTTTCTTATGAAGTGTTGGACAAAATGATGCTTTTTGCACAAGATGTTATAGTACCAACTTCTTTTAATCCGAATCCAAACATTCCAGGACATAATAGAAGGCTACGATGGATTTTCAAAGGGTCGGTTGGTGCACTTGATGGCACTTTGATACATGTTGTCCTTGCTAAGAAACAAGACTTGTATAGAAGTAGGGGAAAGGGATATTGCTACCAAAACGCATTGGCAAATTGTGACTTCAATATGATGTTTAAATTTGTTGTGGCTGGGTGGGAAGGGGTAGCGCATGATTCTAGAATATTATCAGAAGCAATAACCGATCCACAAGCATCATTCCCGTTTCCACCACCCGATAAGTTTTTGTTTTTTTAAATACTCTTATCTTAGTTTGAAAATTCATGAGTGTTTTGTACTTTTTACAGACAAGTATTATCTTTGTGATGTTGCGTATGCACACACTCGAGGATTTATGGCCCCTTATCGTAATGTGTGGTATTGGCTTGGAGATTTTCGTCAACGACGTGCATTGACCAATAAGGAAAAATTTAACCATGGACATGCAAAACTTCGGAATGTCATTGAGCGTGCTTCTGTGTTTTGAAAGCACGCTTCCTTATATTGAAGAGGATGACACCATTCAACATTGCCATGGCATGCTTCGCGCTTCATAATTTTATAAGGAGAGAAGGACTGAGTGATGAGTATTCCGCATGATACGATGAACCCAATGTCTCATTTCGGAATAACAATGTGGCCGTTGATGATGACGAAGACGAGATTCCAACACATGGTATTGCAGTAGACCGTGAATATATGACTCAATTACGAGATGAAATTGCTGATCAGTTGATGCACAATATATATTGAATTGTTTTAAATGAAATTGTTGTTGTAAAACTAATTTTTTTTATTGTATGACTAATTTGGTTGCATGAATTTTATTTTCAATGTTATTAGACTATTGTATGACTAATTTGGTTGCATGAATTTTATAAGACTATTATTATTAAAATTTTGGTGTTAAAATTTCATTTTAAGTTGTAAAATCATTTTATTTAAAATTCTGTTTATTTCAGCAGCCTGCAGACGTTAAAAAACAAACAGTCTTCTTATTGCAGACTGTAGACGTTTGGTCCACCTCTTCTGCTGCAGAGGCTTGCAGATGTGGTCCGCAGACTGCAGACATTTTGGCTTCAGAAAAACAAACAGCACCTAAGTGTTATCATTAGTTGGCCTCATTCACGAAGCTGATCTATAATGGGTGTTTAAGGAAATTTCCTATAAAATGGCGATTGAATGGCTATCCACTCTTACCAACCGCACTCTTGACTAGTGGAGGGTTGTTAGCCGAACGGGTAAGATAGGACACTAAACCCTCATTAAAAGTATAATGAATTATAAAGTAACTAAACCCTTATAATTTCCCAATCTTAGTTATTTAGGAAAAGTGTGATCCAAAGGAATTGTATGATCTTCAGTTAAGAATAGAAAATATGACAATGCAGTTCGATGAACAAAATATCTTTAGTTCAACAAGTGACATTCTAAAGATATTGATCGATCCTTCAAAAGAGAGTGCGAAGGATTTTCTTCGCTCGAGGCTTAGCAGAGAGTCAGATCAGTTATTGGTGGGTTTATTTTTGTATGTAGAAGTTATTTCAAACTGTTACTTGACCAACCATCAGGAGAAGCAAATTGATGCTAATCCATGAAATTGCACATTGCACCTTATTGGTCGTTAGTGGAGTGTGTGTGGTTAACCTGTAACACTTGTTCTAGGTATAACTTAATTTATTAAAAATCTAGGGTTTTAGTGTGTGGACTCGGCAAGTTAGGAGTCCAACTCATCAAGTAGAGGGAATTTCAAGGACACGGGATCAACACCCTAGTCGATGAGTCGGAAGGCCGACTCGACGAGAAGGCGCTTTAATCATAAAACCCTAATTTTAGGGTTTGCACCCTATATAATCTCCTTAATAGCATTGAGGTGGACCTCCCATCAGTCTCCAAACCCTAAGAACGTCTATACTAACCGTAATCCCCGTTCTCTTCCATTTTGTGAGCTAGAGTGACCTTTGATGCTTAAGAAGAAGGAGATAGTGAGAAGATCCAACAAGCCAAGCACCCATCCTTGAGCTTAATCACCTTATGGACTACTGTAAGTCTTCAAGACTCAGTTTTTATCATAAAACATGGCTAGATCTTGACTTTACTCTTCATTTCCTACCTTTCTTGTTGAATGTATGCATGGGGTTCATAAAGTTTGCAACTTTATGAATCACCAGAGCAAAATGGTCTCAAGGTGGGCTAGATATTGCCTTTGGTTGAACAAGGACACCATGCAAGGGTTTTAGGGCATATTTCCCTCTTTTTGGCCATTTTGACCTAAGGACATGCATGTCCATAAAGCCTCCATCTTTGGAACGTTTTGAGGACAAGAAACCTTTCTGGAGAGGAGGGATTTCAGATCCCTAGAGTCTTGGACCATATGGAAAGACTTTGGAGCTTTACAACATTTGTTAAGGGCCTTCGAGCATTTGGAATGGTACTAGAGGCTAAAGTTGGAAACTTTATACTTCTAGACACCTTAGGGCTTTAGAACTAAGCTGCAGAGTCCCTGGAATCAATGAATCATCACAACAAGAAAACAGGGAGGGGGGACTCGACGAGTTGCTCTAGGAACTCGACGAGGCAAATCATTTTTCCCCGCCTCTTGAATATTAAGTGAACTCGTCGAGTTGATGAAACAACTCGGCAAGTTGGCCAGGGTCTGATCAGGTTGTCTGGACTCAGTAGGAACTCGACGAGTCGCTAGATGCACTCGGCGAGTTGAGGTCAACATGGACTATTGACTTTGACTATTGACTTTAACTTTGACCAATGTTGACCAGGGTTGACCTTGAGGGTAATTCTGGGATTTTGACAAGTCTACCTTATGATGCTTACAGCCAGTTTAATTGGAGCAACACGTGGGACATATTTAGTTCTAGCTTTGTTAGTTCAGCATTCAAGAGAGGTGAGTCTCCTCACCTTACCAATGGGGTCTAAGGCACCAAGGCCAACCCTTTTATGATATGTGGTACACTATTTACAGTAGAGATGTGTGGCATGATAGTTAGCTTTATGCTAAATTGTATGCTAGTGATTACGTGACAGTGCATGAAAGACCATGGGGTGAGCCCATGGCACTTGGATGTACGACCATGAGGGGGAGCCCATTGCTATTCGGAAGGGAAAGACCATGGGGGAGCCCATCTCACTTAGGTGTAAGACCATGTGGGGGAGCCCATGGCATCCTTATGCAGGATATGTGGTAGAGATAACTTTTACAGGTAATGTTATTTGGCAGAGATAGCCTTATGGCTAACCTGATATGTGTTATGTGCTAGAGATAGTTTTTATAGCTAATACAATATATTTTGTGGTAGAGATAGCTTTTATGGCTAATATTATATGTTTTATGTGGATTGTATGTGCGGTATGCTCTGGGGAACTAACTAAGCATTATATTACAATTTGTGGACTTGTTTCAGGTACTTCTAAGCCCAAGGGCAAGGGCAAGGTGTGATGGCGCGGAGTGCACTCTGTCACTGATATTTTGTAGGACACTATGATAGTTTTAAATAAAGATGTAATGAATGTGTATTTGAAAACAATTATGTTGGGATTTCATGATTTACAGGAAATGTGTTTGATTAAATAAAAATGAAAATTTTCTTTTGAAAATTTAGGCTGTTACAAGTTGGTATCAGATCCTTGGTTTGAGGGATTTGGGCACACTCTTGGGTGTGTCAGGACTCAAACTAAGGGAATGGTAAAATTATTTAAAAAAAAGGCAAAATGAAAAAGCTTTTAAATAAAGCAAAAGATGAGAGTGCAACGCGCGTGATCAGCCGAGCCAAGTAAGTAGTTCCGCAAGGTGTTAACTATGTTATGCTGATGTTTGAGCTTTGACAATTATATGGAACTTGCTACGTCTATGTTTTTAAAATTCTATACGGTTAGGTTCTTATAGCCTCGGAATGGTTGATTTGTCCTTATTTCCTGTTGCTTGTTTTGTTGGGGTCCTAGGATAGAATCTTTTATTCGAAAGTCTATTTGATCCTTTTCTATGTATAATTTTAATGGATAAAGGAAACCTGA